ACTTTTTACATTCTGAGGATTTGAGCTTTATGGTCAGTGAGATCATGAGAATTTATGATGGCACTTATACATGACTGCTGTATAACATGGACGTCATCATGCTGATATTCGATGGCTGCTGTCACATGCTGTTATGAAATGTCATGACAGTTTATGTTCAAGAATACTACAGTGTCATTACTGGTAATTGTCGTGACAAATACTACAAATACCAATATCATAAATACCAAAACACCATGTAATGAGAGACATTGTTAAAGCATTATGGCATTTGTCATGACAACAGTAAAGGTAACATGACTGTCATATTCAGGAGTGGAAAAGGCCAGGTGCAAAAATCTAGCTGAGCTCATCACCCAGAATGTGTTCAAGTTCACCGTAAAAGGGGCGCGGTCACTTCTTTCGTTCGTGTCCTTGGATTCTTTAAACTTTGCTTTCAGACTTTTAACTGTTCTTTGGTGCTGCGGCCTCGTTCTCCTACGAAATTTCCTTTCAGAATTTCTTTGAAGGGGTTTCACGGAGGGTTTTGGATAAGTGACTTCTAATTTTTTGTACAGAAACATTACCCAAAATGTTTATGAGTCTCAGCAGCACGAAATTCTGATGAATGTCGAGTTGGATTGATGTAAAAGTAGCAAGAATTCCGATCAGGCTGTTCAGACTGAGTGGCATTGCCGCAGATCGGAAACGTATCGGATTTCAGTACCACATATGAAAGCATCTCAACTCCGAGCTGAAAATGTCAGATTCAGTGAGTTTGTTGCTGTTCACACTGCCTCACAGATATATGTTACACAGGTGTGACATCTGTGTCACATATGAAGAAAAAGATTGGATTTGGGCCACTTTTACCTGCTGAGTGAATGAAGCCTAATTGACGTGGACGTGTTTCTTCAAAATGTCATTGTATTTGGCAGTAGTTGTGAATCTCTTCTCTCTATCTCTTTTCTTTCAGGATGGACGAGTCATTCAGGCTGACGTTTCTGTTTAACTGGGATGCGCTGCACTTCATTGGTTTATTCAATCAGCGTCAGTCCAGAATGTTCCAGTTCCTATCAGATCTAGAAGAGGCTGCGGTCCAGCTGGATAGGATGAAGATGGGTTCCAACATCTCCACTGTGGCAGGCAGTTCAGTGGGCATTGCTGGAGGTGTCTTGTCCATCGTAGGCCTGGCTCTTGCCCCCGTTACTGCAGGAGTATCCCTGGCCCTCACACTCACCGGGGTTGGGTTGGGGGTCACCAGTGGAGTCAACAGCTTAGTCACAGGCATCACTGAAATGGCAGTCAACAAACATCATGGGGGAAATGCCAACAACATCTTCCAGAGGTTCATGGAGGATGTGCAGAAGATTCTAGATTGCATGGAACAAGTGGCCAGCAGTGAAGGTCCTGTAGTAGACCCTCAAGTAATTGCTGCAGCCCTTGGGGCTGGGAAAATGATAGCCCGGGCTGGAATGATTGGCAAAGGTATTGACGCCCTCGTGGATGGAGCTTCAGCCATGAAGGCTCTGAAGACTGAGGAAGTAGCTAGGGCTGCGGTTAATATGGGCCTTCAGGAAGCTAAAGCAGCTCGCAGCATCCCCAACCTTGCTGCAGACCTGCCTGACATCGGGCAGCTGGCTAAGGGCACTCCACTGGCCCTGTCGAAATCAGCTAGAGCCGGGTTTATCACTCTAAACGCGTTATTCATTGGTCTAGATGTTCTGTTTATCTGCAAAGATGGCATTAGCCTAGCCAAAGGAAGCAAGAACCAAGTCTCTGAGCTCATCCGATGCAGGTCACGTCTCTGGCGCTCAGAGTTGGAAGCGTGGAGAAAGATCAGTGACTGTCTGTGCAGAGGAATATGGAAGTTCAGAAAGAGCCACCGAATTCTGGAGCAACCATTTCATCCTTAAAGAAGTAAATCAACCAGAACTGCTTTCACTGAAATCATTATGTTGGTTTGCTTTAAGTAATAATCTCATTACGTTAATCTCATTTTAGGAATCAGTTTAGCTAACAATATTACAATCGATTTTTGAGAAATCTTCTTAAAAATCTCACTCTTCTTTACATCCTAGTGGTTGTTCTATGCACGATCATGAAATGATTTTCTTCTTGGAAGACTCATGGACATCAATAATATTCAAGGACATTAGCATTAACATTGTTAACACTGGCTGAGATTGAGTTGAGGTCACAAGACTTTTTTGGGTGATGGATCTTTCTATCCCAAAGTTGTTTACTGGGGTTGAGGTCAGGGCAACTCCTCAAACCATGTCTTCATAGACCTTCATGGACACAGGGCACAGTCGTGCTGGACCAGGAGGCTTTCCCCAAACTATTACCACAAAGTTAGAAGCTTATAATTTTCTAAAATGTCTTTGTATGCCCCTGCGATGGACTGGCGACCTGTACAGGGTGTTTCCTGCCTACCGCCCAATGACTGCTGGGATAGGCTCCAGCACCCCCAGCAACCGAGAAGAATAAGCAGCCAGAAAATATGTGTGTGTGTGTGTTTGTACGCTGTAGCATTAACATCACCCTTCAATGGAACTAAGGGCCCCAAACCCTGATTACCTCATTATCCCTCCTCCACCAAACTTACTGTTGGCACTGTGCATTCCAGTAGGTAACGTTCTCCTGACATCCACCAAACCCAGATTCATCCATCAGACTGACAGATTGTGAAGCTTGATTCATCACTCCAGAGAACACATTTCCACTGAGTCCAGTGGTGGCGCTTTACACCACTCCAGCTGACACTTGGCGTTGCATATAGTTATCTTAGGCTTATGTGCAGCTGCTCAGCCCTGAAAACGCATTTCATGAAGCTCAGTTCTTGTCCTGATGTTGCTTCCAGAGGCGGTTTGGAACTCTATAGCAAGAGAAGCAACCGAGGATAGATGATTTTTACATGGCCCGTTCGGTGAGTTTGTGTGGTCTACCGCTTTGTGGCTGAGCTGTTGTTGCTCAGGTCAGTTCAGGTGAAATTTCATGAACTGATTTGTGGCAAAGGTGGCATCTTATAACAGCAGCTGTGTTTATATGCAAAGATTTTGCCAAACCAATTGAATGCATTCCGATTAAAGATTAAGACTGAGGTGTTCGTGCTCGCTGTAGTCAACAATCTGATGAAAATCTCTGTTTACATGCTCACTACAAGTAATCCGATCCAATATTACACACGTGTAGAGAACCACTTAGTATCTACGTTACCATGACAACCAGCATCACGTGAGTCCAGTCAGAGTGAGATGAGCAGCAGTGAGCAGCGCTTGTGTTTTAATTACTTTAAAATGATGTCAGACTCAGGAAAACGTCCTTCACACGTCCTTATTAAAGAAGGCCGAGAGGAAGACGTGTCGTGTTCTGAGACACATAAGCTGGACATCCGTCCCACCGCCGTCTTTTAAAGATCAGAGCATAAACTTTGTCTCCTCTGCAGACCAGTTTCTGCTCCACCGTGTTGAACATTATAAACTTGCACTCTGACGCGACAAACATGATCAGAACGGACTTAAACTTTCTGATAGGGAATGTAATCAGATACAGGCGTTTATACGGTTATTATTCTTCTATTTAACGGATTATTTACAGGATTACCCACCTCGATCAATCGGATAGAAATTGTATTCTGAATCGAGGTGTTTACATGGATGCATTCTATTCCGATTGAGCTGCTACTCAGATTATTAACGGATTATCAGGCTGCATGTAAACGTGGCTACTGCCACATTTAAAGTCACTGAGTTCTTCAGTTGTTCTATGGAGACTGCATGGCTATGTGCTTGATTTTGTACACTTGTTAGCAATATGTGCGTCTGAAACACCTGAACTCTATAATTAGGAGGGGCGTCCACATACTTTCGGCCAATGTAGCTTACATCTGTCAGTTCATAACCTAATGTCAGAAAAAAAATCTGTCTTTACATGAATGCTGGCAAATGCAACCTTTATGACAAATGACATCTACTAGATTAAGTGCTTATTAATGTTTATGTAGGTCTGTATTGTGTCTATGTAGTTGTCATGAACAATTACTAATTTTATTGTACAATAAATTGTTTTTTTAAGTGCCTAATGTATCTTTGTGAGCAAGTTTAAGTGTGAATGTGTTTCTTTTACATACCGAAGCGTGAGAATGACGAGCTGTGGTGACAGTTGTGGTCCTCAGCTGATGTTAGATCAGAAGAGATCTGAAGAGCTGATAGCTTTGATGAACATTGGCCTAATTTTCTTGTGAAAAACAGTTTTATTTTTAAGCTGTTGTATGAATGTAAGAACATCATTTCAGCTAGAATGGTACTGAATGAATGAATAAGTATTTCTCTTATTAGTAATTCACACAAATTCTGCAATAAATGTACTTCTACTCAAAAAGACTGACTTCTGCATCTTCCTTATAGACGAATTATTGCCATGTTGTCAATTAAGCGGCTCATACATCATCGTTTCTTCGAAAATGAAGGGCGTTAATACTGGTTTTGTTCTCCTTTGATGCAGTAACAGCCTCTACTCTTCTGAAGAGGAACATTGCTGTGAGGACTTAATTGCATTCAGCCACAAGAACATGAGTGAGGTCAGATACTACGTACAGGAAAAATGTTGACCCTCTGATATTTCAAAATTTTGGTGTAATTCAAATGTTGAGTCAGCCAGGTATGATGCGAAACTCAGATGTCTTTACAGTAGTGGTGATAGGAACCAGGGGTCGCCATGACTACAACACAAATATAGACATTTTATTTACTATCCAGAACCACCAGAGTACCTACACATGTCTTCTGAGTGTTACATGAACTGTTGATGATGGTAAAATAGTGACAAATGTGAAAAACAAGTTTTCTTTGGCGACTGTTTTGCCTTAGAACACCCTGCATGTAGCAAACATTTATCTCAAAACTGCAGAACAATATCTTACACATCAGACAGTGTATTTGTATCCCTGTCATTTAATAACATTCTGTGAAGGAGCTTTTAGAGGTACTGAATAAGGATGGACCTAGACAACATCAAAATATGCATAATAATATTTGGTTTATCTGAAGTTTGTAAACAAGTTGGAATGGACAAAATGCATTAGTAAAATAGTAGTGTTAAATAAAACTTTACAGTGGCTTCATATGGCATTAACATGGCTACATAATGCATTATAAATAGTGTTCATAACACATTATACTGCCACTGCCAAAGAAACTTCCAGTTTGCATTATGACATATGATATCATAACCCTATATAAGAACTTGCAAATTGTATTTGTTTCCATATAACGCATTTTCGGTAACACTTGAAGGGTGTCTGCATTACACATTCATAACATACATAAACATTTCTCAACATTTTAATGAATGTTTAAATCAACATTCATGAAGTATACGTTTTACATGACATTAATATGGACTACTATGTCATTTTACTGAGATACTGAGATATTTTCCAAAATAAAAGTCCTCATATTTTACTTTGAACAACTATATTATTTTCAGTGCAACACCTCATTTCTGGACTGACAAAATAAAGATGACCCTGCTTTACCTCTTTGGTCATTAAGTGCTTTGACACTTAGACACATTTTGTCATCTATTATGACATGTTTATGTTGCATTTCAAATGGAATTTCACATAATTCTGTGCAAAGAAGTACATATCGCAGTTATGGGAACAAAACCTTGTATCTCCAAAATGGTAACTTTACAGAAGAAATAAAAAAACATACTTTACTTTTAATGTAAGTCAATGGAACCAGACTTTTTTCCAAGTCATTTTGGGCCGTTTCTTTTGGTCCGTTCATCATGAAATGTCCACACAGTATAAAGAACAACAGGTATTTTCAAATTATGTCAAAAACTGAAAAACTGACAAAAATGGAGATACAAGGTTTTATTCCGACAGCAGCGATAGAGAAAGAGATGTAGAGGTTTTGTTAAGACTCCTATTTCATATAGAAGAAAATTCTCCGTGTTCCATCGCTGGGACTTCTCTGTCTTCTCATCCTCCCTTCATTTTTCTCTTCTACATTACTGTGTCTTACAACAAACACGAGAGTCTGGTCTGCTGCTCAAGATCTCTGAGGAGTCCTGAGCTTCAAAGCCTGTTTAGAACATACAACATGGACACATTTACACAGGATTATGAAATGAATAAAAAATGAAGCATTTAGAATCTCTTCAGATCCTCAGTTTGAACTTTGTAATCCAGAAGGTCAATATACGGAATATATGGAATATTTCTCATAAGACTGTTGCAAAAAGATTTGTATATTTGTAATATTTCTAGATATGTTTTCTTCTATATCTAGTATTATTAGTGACAGAATAATTATATATATTATTGACTATATTTAAGATGTTTAAGATGTTCATACTTGCCAAAATAACACTTTTTGTAGCATATATATATATATATATATATATATATATATATATATATATATATATATATATATATATATAAGACATAATTTCAGAACATTATCCAAAGTGAATGACTGCATATTTCTCAGTATGAGTTGTAGGTTATTTCACATGTGCTGATAAAGGTTAAAGGTTATACTAACTCTCTGCTGTCTCAGTTCTTCTCCTCCGTCCCTCCATCTCCTCCTCTTCTTCATCCTCCGAGCCCTCCCCCTCCTCCATCTCCTTTTTCCTGAGTGCCTCCTTCCATCTTCGCACTTTCTCTTCTTTCTCCTTCCTCTCTACCTCCTCCTGCCTCTCCTCCTCCTCTTCTCTCTCCCTGGCCAGCTTCATCACCTCCTCACTGAGGATCACTGATTCTCCATTAGCAGAAACCATCGCTTGGATTTTAGCCAGAAGTTTAGCCACTAGGTCTTCCCCACCGCCGGTTTGACTGTAGAGGGCGTGGTAGCGCCTGCCGCATTTCTCCACCAGCTTCTCCAGCTCTGCGTTGTCCTCCACTTCCTCCTGGATGGTGGTTGGATGCAGCTGCTTGGTGTCCTTCACGGTGAAAAGCACCAGCGTGTGGCTCCAAGCTTGTGGACCAAACAGTTCCACATGTTCCTCCGCGACGCGGCGCTCGCGGCTTGAAAAGGAGAAGGATAGCGGGACCACCAGGAGCAGTGCATGAGCACCAGGATGGCACAGCTTCATACTAGCCACCATCTGCTTTCTCACATGTTCAGGTGATGCCCGGCTGCCGCCCAGGTTGAACCACTCCCAGCCTGGAGTGTCCACCACCAACACCCGCTGTCCCCTGACCATGCCCTCGCGACGGACACTCACTCTGGTCCTCATCCCCACCTCGTCAAACGCCTTGGTGCCCAGGACGGCGTTGCCGACTGCGCTCTTACCCGCCTCTCTCTCACCAATTAGAACCAAATTTAGGCTCGGGCTGGGCGAGAGAGACTGTGAACGGCCTGTAGAAGAACAGAGAGAGAGACTTGCATTTCCTCAGCTCAGTGCAGAGGAACATTTTGACTTTTTTATTTTTAGCTGATGTGACTGAATCTTTTACTTTTTTTTTTATTCCATACTTTCGTTCGTTCATTTCTGTCCAGTCAGACACAAATTTAATGCTGACTGGTGGAAAAGACCAGTAACCAGCAACGTCTGAGATTTGTTGCGCTTTTTTCACGTGTTATAACTGCTTATTAATGTTCTTTAATGTGTTTATGACATAATGAATAACCATAACCCCCTTTCACTCTGTTGTTCAATGGTCTGGACCCCCACAGAGCAGGTACTATTTGGGTGGTGGATCATTCTCAGCACTGCAGTAACACTGAGGTGGTGGTGGTGTGTTAGTGTGTGTTGCGCTGGTCTGAGTGGATCAGGCACAGCAGTGCTGCTGGAGTTTTTAAACACTGTGTCCACTCACTGTCCACTCTATTAGACACTCCTACCTTGTCAGTCCGCCTTGCAGATGTAAAGTCAGAGACGATAGCTCATCTGCTGCTGCACAGTTTGTGTTGGTCATCCTCTAGACCTTCATCAGTGGTCACCGGACGCTGTTGGCTGGATGTTTTTGGTTCTCAGTCCAGCAGTGACACTGAGGTGTTTAAAATCTCCAGCAGCTCTGCTGTGTCCAGTGGTGTAACTAGGATCTTATGAGCCCAGTGCAAAAACAATTAATGCCCCCCACCACACAAAAAATGACTTTTAATTAATAATGTCATGCACCCACCAGCATCTTATGTATTTGGTTTGCTATACTCTTTAAAAAGATGGTTCTTTAAGGGTTCTTTAGTAAATATAATAGTTCTGTACAGAACCATGAACACTCAAAGAACCATTTGCATGATTAAAGGGTTCTTTGCATCATGGAAGTGATCTTCAGATTGTAGAACCTTTTTGAAAAAGGTTCTATGTAGCACCCAAAAGGGTTCTTCTATTATTACAAGCTTGACATTGTAACAAAAGCAGAACTCTTTTAAAAAGTTTCTGTATAGAACCATCTACAGCATCACATTCCCTTTAAAGATACAAAAAGCCCTTTAATCATGCAAAGCGTTCTTTGGGTGTTCATGGTTCTATATAGACCCATTTTCTTTACTAAAGAACCCTTGAAGAACCATTTAGATAAGAATGGCCACTGGGACAACAAGCTTGCCCCCCCACCCCACACACCTCGGCCCCCCCACACTTCGCCCCCCTAAATGAGTCTCCTCACTCTCGCGACAAAGCGGCACACGAAAGAACACATTTTCCAGTCGGACCGTTTAGGTGATGGACCGAGTTTCCCTTCCGGAGCCGAAAGCGCTAAAAAGAGAAGTAAAAAAGAAAAAAAGGTGAGTAAAATGTTTGTTAAAGCTGTATAAATGTGCTACATCTATTTATACCAACAGTCATGTAGGCTAGAGTTGTTGAGAACGTGTTACATTACGAAGTACGTTGCATAGCTACGTACATGTATAATGTTCGCTAGCAAGCTAACGCAGAACTCTCTTTCCAAAATGAAGAAGAAAAGTGTTTTATATTTTCCCTTATTCCCAAAAATAAGACAGTCGTGCAGGAAGTCAGACACAGCCAGATATTTCAGGTGGGGAAGAGCCACAGATATACATATCCAGATGCCGTGTTTGTTGTTCTCTATCTGAGGCGATACGTCTGCGCGGCCGCCATGTTGGAGAGGTCAAGATCCGCTCGTGAACAGATTCACTTGTACTGAGAGACGATGAGTCTCAGGATTAAATCAGCCACAACTTCCTTATTACTCAACCGATTTTCACCAAATCTGTTTTGTTATAATCCTCAGACAGAGATTAACCCAGGCTGCGCTGGCTGCTCTCGGTAGCTTGTACTTTTTTAATAACTGATCGTGATAATTAGCCGTCCAGACCAGCAGGACTTTCCTGTTCAGTCTGTACCTGACATTAAAAACTGAGTTTAGCGCGAGAAACACAATCAGACACATCAGCAAATCCATCAATGTGTGAATCACTTCTAATCTTAATACACATAAAAATAATGTGCAATAAACTTCCAAAACAGTTGACCTTCTATTCGCCAGCCTCTTATTCAAGTTTTCCAGTTCCACCTTAAATGGTGCAGCAGTCACTTTCTGGTGTCTGAAGCTGCACCATTTAAGGTGGAACGGGAAAATTCCAACAAGAAGCTGGCTGATGCACCATTTAAGGTGAAACGGGAAAATTCAAACAAGAAGCTGGCAAATAAAAACGTAACTTCAGGTTTGTGTAAGAAGGTTCTAACATTAATCTATTATGAATATCTACACAGATTAAGGAATGCTGTAACTTACCGCTACAAAGCTTTAACCATCATTGTAAATAAATAACTACTACATAACGTTAAGATCCCCTGAATAGACTATTAGAGTGCAATATTCTTACATACATACATACATACATCATCTAAACCGCTTATCCTTCTGGGTTGCAATATTCTTGAAATAATGTAATTTTGGACAGTATCTTTCTTAAACCGCTGCTCTCTAATGGTACTGAATGCACTCCAGCAGCTATGTTGACCGCCCCAAAATGGCGGTGCCGTTGACATGCCTGGCTGGGCCCAACGCAGCGTCTAGGTTTGTATATCTATGGGACAAGCCACCGCACAGGCTGAGCAGCAAGTGTGGTCAAGTGGAGAAACTGGTTCGGACAGTGAGGACACAATAGAGCAGGTAGAGACAGATGGACATTCTGGAAGTGAGGCTGAGGGTGAGGTGGAAGCTAAGTGTGAGACGGAGAAAGAAGCCATAACCATATCACCATCAGGTTTGTGATGTTAAAGATCTCTCTGTTAGTCAGTTTATATGGTGTCTATACATATATGTAGGTTTGTGATTGCTTGACAGTAACCTAAACATCCATGTAATATTTAGATGTGTACAAGGTTGATGTTAGACATTTTCTGTAGTGTTACTTTGTTATGTTAACTTTCTGTTGATGAAAATTGCAAATATCAGCAAATGTGGAGATGATCCTCAAGCGCAGCCAATTTTTAAAATGTCCCTGGACTCTGAGGGAAGACAGGAGGAAGAGTTTCAAGGTGGCCTGGTACAACATCCACCCCTGACTTAAATATTCAAAAAACATTGACTCAGCGTTTGGCTTTGCATGCAGACATTTTAGTCCTTTCAAAAGCTCACAGAACAAAGTGAAAATGTAGCTGAAAACTGCGTAAATAAAATGTTGAATGATATGGAACACTGACTTTCACCTCTTAATGCCTGCATTACACGATAAGGTAAAAAGTAATTGGCCCCTCTAACATACCCACTGGTCCCAGCCTGGCTTCCCCAGTTCAGATGGTCTAGAACCAGCACTGCTGAGAACACTCTCTCTTTCCCTTTCAGCTCCACCTTTCTCTCCTCTTTTTAACCTTTTTGCGAAGTTCTGAGTACAATAACATTTAATACTATTTATTTTATGACATATAATAATGTATCTGCTTTAAGAAGACAAATTACATCACCAAGTCAGCGTTACTGCAGTGCTGAGAATCATCCACTACCCAAATAATACCTGCTCTGTGGTGGTCCTGTGGGGGTCCTGACCATTGAAGAACAGGGTAAAAAAGAGCTGGACTACAGTCTGTAATTGTAGAACTGCAAAGTGCTCCTATATGGTAAGTGGAGCTTAGGTAAGTAAGGCTGAATCACTCTATGGCCTGGTTTCTCAGAGAGGGATCAAGCCTACTTACTATAGATTGTAATTCACTTTGAATAGACAGTCTCGACCTAGAAAATACTATGTAGTCCAGGACTACAGTTAATCCATGTCTGGGAAACCAGTCCAAAATGATTAGCCTGTGGAAAAAAGACTGGTGGTATGTACAGGGAAATCGCCATAAAACACAGCCTATCAGTTTAACACAAACTGAACTTACAGGACCTTTAATATATGACAGGTGATGTACATATAAATATGTTCAAACTGACCGTGACAGTCTGCTCCTCTTGCTTCTTCCATGGCCTTCTATATGTTCTCCGCTAGTTTACGATTTTCATTGATCCACTCATAACTAGCCTACATTCATCAACACAAGACACATAGATGTGTAAAAGTGTACGATAAACACTAAATACTTTACTTCCTTAAGCAAAGTTCATAAGGTACGGTTGCCAGCCAACCCACATTATCTAACATTTTATTCCTGAATGTGAGTGTTGTGAGAGTTGTGCATATTTACTGATTAGCCTGTTTTTACAGCACCTTTTATTGTCAGGCTGACTCAAAGTACACGGAGAAGCTCTGCAATATAGTGAACAAACTGAGATGTAACCACATATCTTATAACCGTATATCCATATCCATATGGGCTTATATACAGTATTAAAGTGGTTGCACTTCATTTTCTAAATGCACATAAATTTAATTTGAATCTATACATCCATACATAAGCCTCTGTATGTCAGTGCTGTATATTAGCACTATATGTTACTGTGGAGTTGCAGTGGACGGTTCCAAAGTCCACTTGAATTGCAATCTTACTGCCTCACTGCTTGTCTGTGTACTTTGTAGAGCAGCAGGAACAGGATTAAGACTGTATAGCATTCATTCTGTTAGAATGGAAAAGCTCAACGACTATCTCTGCAGATATAAAGGCTACATTTTTGCAACTCATATGCTGCAGGAAGAGAACATCGACTGCCTACAGAACTTCGAGATACGACACAGTGACATTTTTCTGGTGACCTATCCAAAGTCAGGTGAGAGAGTGTTAGTTCAGCCTCGCGTGCTAACAGTGCTACAATGAATGAGGGGGTAGTAACGACGATGTCATTATAATTTACAGCATTTGTTAGTAATGCCTACAATTCCCAGACTTATTACATCCGTAATGGTTATTACTCAGAAACTACCTGGAAAACAATGCAAACTGATTTAGGGTAAAACACATGCAGAGTGGGACTGATTGGTGGGATTCTATTTGATAAAGAAGTAGAAAAAAAAGTATATATGTACAGTAATGGATAAGCATAACAGCGACTTCAACGTTTTAACTTTTTCTCACAAATGTAGATTCTAACAGCATTCAGAATATTGAGATGTTATTAAGAGCATGCCTTGGGATTGTTTTTATTAAAAAAAGTACAAACGATTCCATAATTATTGTCACCTTTGGGGCAGATGGGTAGAAAAAGTTCATGATGGTTAATTAGTTCAGTCAATAAATATATGAAAAGAATCGATCACTATTATTAATGCTCGGTCAAACTGACCTGAACTCTGTATGTGTAATGTAAACATGTTCATTACCCTAATTGAGCTCAGCAGAAAAGGCTTCATGCTTCAAAAATTATTAAAAATATTTTCCTGCATTTTTAAACTTAGAAACACATCAGGAGGGTTGAAGGTTTGACTTTTAACCCTTCAAATTTGTGAGACTATCAAGCTAAATATTCTAATTTACTGTGATATATTTGTAATTTGATGTAAACAAAGCGTGTTTTCACAGGAACGATATGGACGCAGAACATCATAATGCTGATATGTGAGTCAGACTGCACAGATGAGACTCAATTTCCCAACAATCTGGAGAAAATGCCGTGGCTGGAGTATCCGCAGGGACACTCGGATTATTCCTCTCGAGCCTCTCCACGCTTCTTCGCTTCGCACCTCCCACCAGCACTCATGCCCCCTGGAGTCAAGGACAAAAAGGCAAAGGTAGAGTAGGAGGCACAAATGGCAGTTTCCAAAAAATTTCTTCACATTTATTTATTTTTTACATTTATTTTTAGTTGTTTTTTAAAATAAGTACTTCTAAAAAAAAGTCCCATAGGCTTTCATCTGGCATACAAAAAGATTAAATTATTTTACAGCAACACAATTAAAGATAAATGCAGATTTAATGATTTAACAGATTAGTTTCAGATCAGTTAAATCATATTAAACCAAGAATAGACTTTGAATGAGATCATAAAGTACTGTGCCAAAGTTAGAGATCATTATTTGTTTCAATTCCCAGACAAAATAGCCACTAAGTGCAAGGTATTTATTTTTCAGCATAAGGAAAAAAGCAGAAGCCTCACATTTTCAGCATTTTTATGGCATTTTACAGTATTTTTTCAGTATTTAGTGTGTCCTCACTTTATTACAGCTTCATTCCAGCTTCCATTGTTTTCAGGAGACTTACTTTCAGTTCCTCAAAGAATCTGCAGACACACCTCCAAAGTTCAGTCTTAGAAGCTGGTTGATGATTTTCTGAAGTAATCAAACACATTCAGTGGTGTTGAGGTCTGGACTCTGGGGTGGTCAGTCCATCGTTCAGCTTCTTTGTTTGATGTGTCCGTCTCCTTTTCTCAGTGAGGTTCTTCTTGATCAGCTACACATCCTTTCAGACCCACAGCGCTGAGTCGTCTTCTCACAGTGGAAGGATGGACAGAAATGCCTGAGGCTTTAAGTGCTGTTTATCTGATGGGGGCAGTTTTTGCGACTACCGGGTCTTCTAGGTGGTTGTTAGGAGCCACATCCTAATAGAAATAGCCATGCAGAAATGAATAGAAATGAATAACTGGAAATTTGGCCTGGAGATTAACTAAATGAATGGTGCTCTCTGACATTTGCACAGTTCTGCGTGTCAATATATGTGGTGCTGTTTCAGCAAACTCAAAATAACTTTATAAAATGAATCATTCTCTATTTTTGTCTAGATCGTTTACGTGGCCAGGAACCCTAAAGATGTGGCAGTGTCTTACTTCCACTTCTGTCATGCGTGGACAAACCTGGAGACCCCCAAGAGCTTTGAAGAGTTTCTGCAGCAGTACCTCACTGGATACGGTGAGACTGAATCCTAGAGCGACTGTGAGGGTCTACATTGAGAGTTTCTGCATAAAGAAATTGTGAGAATAGTTCAAAAATGCATAAACATGCAGAATTTATCAACGTGGAGTGTTCTTGGCAGATTTCAAAACCCGCAAGCAGAGACAGGATGGCATTCATTTAATACAAAACTGACCGTCTCTGCGTGCTGCTGGACTTTGCAGTTGCTGGATCATCGTGGTTTGATCACATCCGAGTGTGGCACATGCACAGAGACGAGTACAACATCCTGTTCCTGACTTATGAGGACATGATCATGGTAAGATAAATGCATGAAAAAGGTTCATTTCATAATGTAATAACCATCCAAATGTAGGAATGTAAGTATTATAAAAATATATAAAGTCATTATTTGGTAATAATGTAATAAATCCTTATAATTATAACGCTTTAACACCATAACGGCATTTTCGCACATGAATTTAGTGAGGTATATTCAGATTATTACATTATAAATTGACAAAAAGTGTACAAATAATGTAAAAGTGTCATTGCATTGCAACATTTTGTAGTAATGAGAGCTTTTTAGTTCAAATCGTTTTATTATGTTTAAGATAAAATGAAATTATAACAGTTCCCTTTTTAAAATGACACTCATAGATACAAACTCAGTTACTTCCTAGCACACCACTTGGGACACTATAGTAATGCCGTAGCAACACCTTAGCAACCATCTGGAATAACACAGCAATGGCTAACCAACACATTAGCAACTACCTGGGATGCCATAGCAATGGCCTAGCAACACATAAGCAACCACCTGGGACAGCACGGCAATGTTTTATGGCTTTGTCAAGCCAAATTCGAGTTCGTTCATGAACTTCAGTTTAGACATTAATTTTTCAGTATTCTGTAAATGATATGTAGGCTAGTTCCCGTATTGCCCTAATAAAACTGTTATTTTTAAGAGCATTTCCCTTTTTCTCTTATTTCATGAAGATTATTTATCATCTTTAATAGTACACAGTATCTCCCATCCTGTGCTTTCTGCATTATGTCAGGATCTGAGGTCGGCAGTAGAGAAGATTTCCTGCTTTTTGGGACGAGATCTGGACGAAGCTGCGATCTCTCGTGTTGTGGAGAAAGCCACCTTTAAAAATATGAGGAAGGACCCCAAAGCCAACTATGAGTTCCTTCCTACTGAAACTTTACAGGGAAAATTCATGCGCAAAGGTCAGAATTCAGAGATTATACTTCATGGAGGCCTTATTAAAGACATATACAGAGTCTTATGAATGGACAGCAACAGGTTTATTAGTTTGACTCTGTACAGTAGCATTTGTTCTTATTCAGTAGTTCTCTGATTGATTTATCTTCATCTATCTACTCACAGTGTTTCCAGTGTTATCAGTTTCCAACACCAGCCTTTAACAGACTATTCATCATGTATGCAGTTTTGGCTCCAAACGTCCACTTTTAATTAAAAATCCAGTTTTTTGTTCTTTTTACACACCAGTGCAAACAAAAAAAGGCTGTAGAGGAACCACTTTTGGTTCAAGATCCTTTGGTAACACCTCACTTAAACCCTGCTAAGTAACATTGACAAAACCATGCTATAAACATGTTATAGCAGATGTTATATTCTGTAATATGTTCTCATAGCAGATTATGCTCAGTAATATAACAGTGCATGGTTTAATGGATGGTTCTTTAAAGATCATTTGAGCATATTAACCATTTCAACCTTTTTGGATTATCAGTTATTTTGGTTTTTAATTTATTTTGTGCAACTACACTTTATTATTACATTTTAGTGACCTCTTTATTTTAAATACATGGCTTCAAACAATGCCATACTATGCTCTTATATGATTAAAATCTCAGATATACTGTTTTTCATTGCAAGGGCTCATTTAAGGACCATTTTTGCATGAATGAATTTATAATGTAAAGGTTTTTAGCCCTTTAAAGGTCCTACATCCCTGTAACTTTACCATGTGGTTCATTTTGATTTTGTTGTTTAAATAAATAGTTCTCAGAGATTTTAGACCAGTTGAGTGTGTGTGATGTGTCTGTTGTGTGTTGTTGCAGGTACAGTAGGAGACTGGAAAAACACCTTCACTGTGGCCCAGAATGAGATGTTTGATTGTATCTATCAGGAAAAAATGAAGGATCTTCCATTCAAGGTCATATGGGACATAAATTAAAGCACTTTTATGGAAACCATAGCATGTGATGAAAACACTGTACTGTACTGTGATGACATGTTTAGAAATTAAAGGAATTTTCAACTTAATCACTCTCTTCTGCATCTGTGGTGGACATTGAGTGGAAGTACAAGGTAGGTGCTTCTGATAAAGTGAGAAATCAAAGAAATACTTTTATGTTTTTCAACCTGATCCCTCTCTGCTGTATCTGTAGTATACGGTCACTTACCATGGACAGTAGTTTAGAGCATTTCTCTGTATGATAAACTGAAAACCTGCAATAATGATTTCACAGTAAATTTACAGTACAAATAAGTAAGTGCAGAAGTCCAGGGAAATGTGTTGACATTACTGCCCTGGTAAAATTGCCACATTTTGTCTAATGTAAGTGGGTTGGTGAGTGACAGCAAATGGGAATCCTGATACAGTGCTGCTGGAGTTGTTAAACACTGTGTCCACTCACTGTCCACTCTATTCGACACTCCTACCTCGGTCCACCTTGTAGATGTAAAGTCAGAGACGATAGCTCATCTGCTGCTGCACAGTTTGTGTTGGTCATCCTCTAGTCCTTCATCAGTGGTCACAGGAAGCCGCCCACAGGACATTGTTGGCATAAGGAAAAAAGTAGAAGCCTCACATTTTCAGTATTTTTATGGTATTTTACAGTATTTTTTCGGTATTTAGTGTGTCCACACTTTATTACAGCTTTATTCCAGCTTCCATTCTTTTCAGGACACTCACTCTCAGTTTCTCAAAGAAATCTGCAGACACACCTCCAAAGCTTCTTTGTTTGATGTGTCTGTACTATTTGGGTGGTGGATCATTCTCAGCACTGCAGTGACACTGACATGGTGGTGGTGTGTTAGTGTGTGTTGTGCTGGTACGAGTGGATCAGACACAGCAGTGCTGCTGGTGTTTTTAAAGACTGTGTCCACTCCCTGTCCACTCTATTAGACACTCCTACCTTGTCAGTCCACCTTGTAGATGTAAAGTCAGAGACGACAGCTCATCTGCTGCTGCACAGTTTGTGTTGGTCATCCTCTAGTCCTTCATCAGTGGTCACAGGACGCTGCCCACAGGACGCTGTTGGCTGGATGTTTTTGGTTGGTGGACTATTCTCAGTCCAGCAGTGACACTGAGGTGTTTAAAGACTGATCCACTCGCACCAGCTGCCAGTTAGCAAATACTATAGTAACATCACTGGCTACAGAAGTGGAGCTGAATTACTCTATAGCCCGATTTCCTGGACAGGAAACCAACCCCCAAAAAAATGAACCTGTGGAAGAAAGAAGAGATGATCTGTAAATATTGCACAATACTGTATGTTTCTTGATTGTATTTTGCTTTGTTGTTTGGGTTCTGGCCATTTAAGGGGTTAACCACCGGGAAATCACCACAAAAGACCTGTCAGTTTAACACAAACTCAACTTACAGGACATATAACATATGACAGGTGATATATATATATATATATATGTATGCATGTATGTATGTTTGTTCAAACTGACCATAACAGTTTGCTCCTCTTGCTTCTTCCATGGCGTTCTAGCTAACTCAAGACTTTTATTGATCCACTCATAACTACCATAGATAAGTAAAAGTGCAAAAGACTACAGTAAACCCTAACCACCGTACCTCCTTAAATAAAGTTCATAAGGTACAGCTGCCTGCCAGCCCACCTTATCTAATATTTTTATCCCTAAGCGTGAGTGCTATGAGAGTTAGCAATGCATATTTACTGATTAACCTGTTTTTACAGCACCTTTTATTGTCAGACTGACTTAAAGTAAATGGACTGCACTACAATAGAGTGAACAAACTGAGATATAATCATATACCGTATAACCATATATCCATATCCCTATGGGCTTATGTACAGTAGTAATATGGTCCCACTTCATTTCCTAATTGCCCATGAATGTATTTTGAATGTAAACACCCTGAAACACATAAACCACTGTATGTCACTGCTGTACATTAGGCTTGAATGCTACTGTGGAGTTGCAGAGGACGGTTCCAAAGTCCACTTGAACTGCAATCTTACTGCCTCATTGTTTGTCTGTGTACTTTGCAGAGCAGCAGCAACAGGATTAAGACTGCATAGCACCTCCAGCTGTTATAATGGAAAAGCTCAACGACTACCTCTGCAGATATAAAGGTTATGTTTTTCCACTTGATATGCTGAAGGTAGAGAACATCGACTGCCTTCAGAGCTTCGAGATACGAGACAGTGACATTTTTCTGGTGACCTATCCAAAGTCAGGTGAGAGATTGTTAGTTCAACCTAGCATGCTAACAATGAATGAGGGGTAGTAACCACGATGTCATTATCATTTACAGCATTTGTTAGTAATGCCTTCAATTCCCAGACTTATTACATCCGTAATGGTTGTTACTCAGTAACGAAGTATCTGAGGGTAAAACACATGCAGAGCATGCTGATTGGTGGGATTCTATTTGGTAAAAAAGTAGAAAAAATCTTGTGTAAATACAGGAATGGATAGGCATCATGGCAACTTTAATGTTTTAATGTTTTCTAACACGTAGGTTCTAACAGTGTTTAGAATACTGAGATTTTACTTTGTAACTAAGTGCAGTGCTCAGGGACTTATTTATTTTTTTAATTGAAAAAGTGCAATCAGCTCATTTTACATTGGCTCCTTTGGAGCAGATGGATAGAAAAACTTCATAGGAAATATAGTTGTGGTTAATAAGTTCAGTCTGTAAGTAAAACCCAATTTCATGTGTTTTAATGTGAAATTGGTTTTGTAGACACAGATATGCACAAAAATTTTATGAAATCAACATTTTTCTCAACATTCATCAACATGAAGAATAGAGAATACACAAACAAAATTAAACCTAATAGTGCTTTCATAAATCTGACAATGGCTTTAAAACAATAGCTACATGCCCAAAATGTTCATATACACTGTTAGGGCAACAATTAAAAAGTTTAAAACAACCAGAGCTGTAGTGAACTTGGGAGGATGGCTAGAGAGGCAAACATTTCACTGAGGATCACAGTTTGCAGAAGATGGTGACAACTTAAGGTCACCAAAACTGCCATTAGATGCCACCTCCATGCCAACAAACTATACAAAAGGTGTGTCAGAAGTGACTTTTTAACCTAACCACAATTGTAAGTGCCTGGAATTTGCATGCTTGTCAACTCAGATGAGAAAAAAGTAGGGCTTTTTGTGTTAATATTAAAAAATAGTAATGCTTTTTGTTTTCTCAGGCTAAACTTACTTCAAGTAACTATCCTAATTTACTGTGACATTTGTAATTTGATGTAAACCAAGCATGTTTTCACAGGAACGATATGGACACAGAACATCATAATGCTGATCTGTGAGTCAGACTTCACGGATGAAGCTGAATTTCCCAACAATCTGGAGAAAATGCCGTGGCTGGAGTATCTAGAGGGACACTTGGATTATTCCTCTCGAGCCTCTCCACGCTTCTTCACCTCGCACCTCACACCCGCGCTCATGCCACCTGGACTCAAGGACAAAAAGGCAAAGGTAGAGTAGGAGACACTCTGAGGCTGCTTTTGGCCAAAAATGGAATAATTCCAAAAGATTTTAATACTGATTTTATTTTTTGTTTGTAATGGTGTTACATCCTCTATTTTTGTCTGGTTTTAAATGCTAGATCGTTTACGTGGCCAGGAACCCTAAAGATGTTGCGGTGTCTTATTTCCACTTCTGCCATGCATGGACAAACTTTGAGACCCCCAAGAGCTTTGAGGAGTTTCTGCAGCAGTTCCTCGCTGGATACGGTAAGACTGAATCCCAGAGCGACTGTGAGGGTCTACATTGAGAGTTTCTGCATGAAGACATTGTGAGAATAGCTTGTAAGTGCATAAACATACAGAATGTATCAATGTGGAACGTTCTAAGCAGATTTCTAAACCCAGAAGCAGAGACAGAACAGCATTTGTTTAACCCCTTAAATGGCAAGGGTTCATCAGTGGGCCTAAAGTTTTATTACACACTTCTATAATCTAAGAATAGCTCAGCCAGTTTGCATTAAAGTCCCTGTAGATGCTGAATAATGTGCCTGGGATTTTGATGGGTTTATACAAAACTGACCGTCTCTGTTTGTCTGTTTGCTGCTGGATATTACAGTTAATGGATCATCGTGGTTCGATCACATCAGTGAGTGGCACACACACAGAGATGAGTACAACATCCTGTTCCTGACCTATGAGGACATGATCATGGTAAGATAAATGCACGAAAGAGATTCCACTTCATTTAAGCAATAGAGCAATAGAACACAAGAGCAAATAACATCAAGGCTGTGAGGATCTAAGGCACGAGCCGAAATCACAGCCGTGATGTTATTCTTGATAACACACTCCTCGAGTGTTCTATTGCTTTTATACAACAGTTAAATAAATAAAGTAATAAATTAATAAACTGGGCCGTGAACGCGGCGTTTAATATGTTTTAATGTTCGCAGTTCCTTCACCAAATTATAGTTCCTTAACAAGCAGCTTGTTGCTTCGTCAGAGTAACGAACTCCGCTCACTCGCTGCACAGCCGGCAGTTCGTTCTCCAGCTCCACACAGACCAACTGACAGTTTGGGAATTTAGTGTAGTCTCATCTTCAGAGTCTGACCAAATCTGTCGGTCAAATGTGATCTTAATGTCCATTTTCTGTTTGTGGCAAAGTAAGAAGTAAAAACGTTCAAATGGCTTGAGCGTCTCCTACAGCTGTTGCTTAGCAACGGCATCTCAGCGGAGTGATATAGTGTTCGTGAAAAAAACATGATGTTATGGTGAAATAACAGCACAGTTAGAACGCTTCTCAACCAATCAGCTTGCGTGGCCGGAACTAACTGTTGTATAAAATGTAATAACAACACAAAATGTAAGAATTTAAGTATTATAAAAACACATAATAAATAATACTTTAAAGAAATTATAACATTTTTCACCTTCATTTAGTGGGTATGTTCTAATTATTACATTAGAAATTGACAAAAAATGTATAAATAATGTAATAATGACCTTGTAATATGCAATAATACATACAATTACCTGTTATAGTAATCTGAGCATTTTAGTTCAGACACACTCATTATCTAAGCCACTTATCCTTCTGGATTGCTGGGGGGAGCTGGAGCTGGTCATTTGGCAGAAGGTAGGAAACACCCTGGACAGGTCGCTGGTGCATCTCAGGGCCATTTTAGTTCATTTAACTTCTATTTACCTTCTTACATTATTTGAAGATAAAAATAAAACTATACAATTACTCTTTTAAAATGATACTCTTATCACTACAAACTCAGTCACTTCCTAGCATACATATATACACACATACTAGCAACCATGAGGAACACCACAGTAATGCCAGCTTAGCAACCACCTGGAATAACATAGCAACGGCCAAGCAACATTTTAGCCATCATATAACATGCCAACGGCCAAGCAGCACCTTAGCAACCACCTGGGATACCATAGCAACAGCCTAGCAACATCTGAGCGACCACCTGGGACAGCATAGTAATGCTATAGCAACATCTTAGCAACAATATGTGATTCCATAGCAATAGCGTTGTCAAGCCAACCTCAAGTTCATTCATGAACTTCCCCTTTTAGTTCAGACATGAAACTGACCATTTTTCAGCTTTCTTTAAAGTAATTGTGGGCTGGTTCCCCTCATAATATTAATTTTTTTCCCTTATTTCATTTATCATCTTTAATAATATGCAGTATTATTATTATTATCTCCCATCCTGTGCTTTGTGCATTATGTCAGGATCTGAGGTCCGCCGTTGAGAAGATTTCCCGCTTTTTGGGACGAGATCTGGACGAAGCTGCGATCTCCCGCGTTGTGGAGAAAGCCACCTTTAAAAATATGAAGAAGGACCCCAAAGCAAACTATGAGTTTGTTCCTGCTGAGATGATACAGGGCACATACATGCGCAAAGGTCAGAATACTGAGATTACACTTCATAGAGGCCTTATTAAAGACATACATAGAGAGAGATATACATGGACAGGAACATGTTTATTAGTATGACTCTGTACAGTAGCATTTGTTTTTGATTCAGTAGTTCTCTGATTGATTCATCTTAAACCTTGTAATGTTGCACTTTATTTGCACTAATTCCAGTGTTATCAGTTTCCAACACCAGCTTCTAACAAACCATCGTCATGTATACAGTTTTGGCTCCAAACCTCCTCTTTTAATTTAAAACTTATTTTGTATAAACTAAAGGTGCCAGTACATACGAAAAAAAAGATACCTGGAACAAGGTATCATAGGAGATCCAGTTTTGGTTCCTTCAGGAACCTTTAGTAACCCTGCTTAGTAACACTGACAAAAACATGCTATGAACATGTTATAACAGATGTTATGTTCTGTAATATGTTGTCATGGCAGACTATGTTCAGTAATATAATAGTGGATGGTTCTTTAAAGAACATTTGAGCCCCTCCAATGAAAAAACATACACTCACAAGCACTTTATTAGGCCCAATCCCATTTCACCCCTCGCCCCTACCGCTTAGCCCTTAGCCCTCTGTTTTGCGCGTTCACGTCTAGGGTTAGGGTGTCCCAGTTTTTGTTGAGATAGAGGGGTAGGGTGAAGTGTTGGGGCTACATGGCCCTCCAAACAAGAAACTGGTGAATATCTGACTTCAGCTTCGTATCACCAAAGAATTAGCAGTGGGTGATAATAAATAATTGCCCCCCCCCCTCTTTGAAAGCATATGACGCTCTAAATGTAACTGAAGCCCAGGAGTGAGGAGCTGAACTTTTCCCTTCTCTGCTATCACTGAAGACGGGCCGGGTCGCCTACAGAGCAGCGCTAGTAGTTGTCAATGAAGAAATGTTTTTTTTGTTTTTTTTTTTAATTTGAGGGTCCCATTTCATAGGGCAAGATTTCAAGCACTACCCCTTGTAACTCAGTTCCAAGGGGTTAGGGTGACACTCGAAAACAAGGGGTAGGGGTAAAAAGAAGAAATGGGATTGGGCCTTAGGATCACTTGTACACCTACTCATTCAGGAAATGATTGAATCACCTAATCGTGTGGTAGCAGTGCAGTGCATTAAATCAAGCAGATACAAACCAGCAGCTTAGAGTAATGTTCACATCAACCATCAGCATGAGGGAAAATGTGATCTCTGGTTTGAGTATTTCTATAGCTGCTGATCTCCTGGACACACACCAGTCTCTAGAGTTACTCAGAAGGGTGTATTAAAGTTAGAATTTGATCACAATTTGGCACCAACAGTATTTGAATGCATGGACCCTTGTGTCAAAGCGTTGTATCAACAGTCCAGGCTGGTGGAGGTGGTGTAATGGTGTGGGGAATATTTTTGGGCACAATTTAGGCCCATTAACACCGATCAATCATTGCTATTTTAATTTTGCTGCTGACGATTCCCTTCATGCATCCCTTCATGGCCACAATTTACCATCTTCTAATGGCCACTTCCAGGCATGGAATGATACTGCATCATATCACAAAGCAAAGTCGTCTCAAACTGGTTTCATGAACATGACAATGAGTTCAGTGTTCTGTAGTGACCTTCCCAGTCACAGTCACCAAGTCCGAATCCGGTAGAACATCTTTGGGATGTGGTTGAATGGGAGGTTTGCTGCATGAAAGTGCATCTGAAAAATCTGAACTGCTTGATGCAATCATGTCAACACGGACCAGAATCTCAAAAGAATGTTTCCAACATCTTGCGGAATCCATGCCACGAATAATTTAGTTTTGAGAGCAAAATCTACCTGGTATTAGTATAGTGTTCCTAATAAAGTGCTCTGTGAGTGCACTGACCACCATAGCAACCACTTGGAATAAGATAGCAATGGCCAAGCAACACATTAGCAATCACATAACATAGCAAGGGCTAAGCAGCACCTTAGCAACCACCTGGGATGCCATAGCAACAGCCTAGCAACACCTGAGCGACCACCTGGGACAGCATTGCAACATTATGGCAACATCTTAGCAACATGTGATTCCATAGCAACAGCTTTGTCAAGTGATCAGTGAATGCACATGAAACATCCCAGTTACTTTGTTTTCTGTTTTATTTTGTGCAACTTTTTACTCCAAATAGCCAAACTTTGCTTTATTTACACTGAAGTGGTATCTTTAATTTAAATACAGGGCATCAAACAATGCCATGCCATGCTGATATGAAGAAATGTCACATATCGCTGCTGTCGGAACAAAACCTCGTATCTCCATTTTTGACGTTTTTCAGTTTTTGACATAATTTGAAAATGCATGTTGGCCTTCTTATTGTGTGTAAATTACATGATGAATGGACTAAAAGAATCGGCCCAAAATTACTTGGAATGATGTCTGGTTCCATTGACTTACATTAAAAGTAGAGAAGGTTTTTCCCTTCTCCTGTAAAGTTACCATTCTGGAGATACGAGGTTTTGTTCCGACAACAGCGATATACTGTTTTTGTTGCTCATTTAAAGACCATTTTTTTCATGTGTGAAGAACCACTTCAAAGTTTAAAGAAACTCCACATAGTGTAAACCATTTAAGCCCTTAAAATCCCTGGCTGTTTACACATTAAGGCTTTTTGTTCAGTAAATACAGGGACTTCAGTGAAAACTAGTTGAGCTGTTCTGAGGTTGAAGTGTGAAATGAAACTTTGGGCCCAGTGGCAGGTCCAGGCCTTTTAAAGGTTTAAAGGTCTATACATCCCTGAAACGTTACAAACTGATTTCAGAAGAAGAGTTTTCAGAGATTTTAGACCAGTTGAGTGTGTGTGATGTGTCTGTTGTGTGTTGTTCCAGGTACAGTAGGAGACTGGAAAAACATCTTCACTGTGGCCCAGAACGAGATGTTTGACCGTATCTATCAGGAAAGAATGAAAGATCTTCCATTAAAGTTCATATGGGACATAAAGTAAAGCACTTTTTATGGAAACCAAGCCAAGTGATGAAAACACTGTACTGAACTGTGATCACACGTTTAGAAATTAAAGGTTTTTTTTTATCCTAATTACATTCTGCTGCATCTGTATAGGCCAGTTAGTGGAAGTACAAGGTAGGTGTTTCTCATAAAGTGGCCAGCGAGTAGAAGTACAGGGTAGGTGTTTCTAATAAACTGGCCAGTTAGTGGAAGTACAAGGTAGGTGTTTCTCATTAAAGTGGCCAGCGAGTAGAAGTACAAGGTAGGTGTTTCTAATAAAGTGGCCAGTGAGTGGAAGTACAAGGTAGGTGTTTCTAATAAAGTGGCCAGTTAGTGGGAGTACAAGGTAGGTGTTTCTAATAAAGTGGCTAGTAAGTGGGAGTCCAAGGTAGGTGTTTCTCATAAAGTGGCCAGTTAGTGAAAGTACAAGGTAGGTGTTTCAAATAAAGTGACCAGTGAGCAGAAGTACAAGGTAGGTGTTTCTGATAAAGTGGCCAGTTAGTGGGAGTACAAGGTAGGTGTTTCTAATAAAGTGACAGGTTTAAAAATTAAAGAAATGCTTGGTTTTTCATTCTAATCACTCTTTGCTGCATCTGTAGTGCATGGTTTCTTACCATGAACAATACTTTTAGTGTGTTTTCGTTGTATAATAAACTGAAATTCTGCTGACCTGAAATGATAATTTTATAGCACATTCACAATAAAAGTATATGATTATGTGCTGAAGTCCAGGGAAAGGAAACTTCAAGATGAACAATTAAAATGTAATTATCCTCTCTGTACAGTAGAAACGCATAACAGATGTACTGAAAATGAGATGAGCTGGTGAGTGACAGTAAAGAGGAATCTTGATGCCAGTCCACTCTGCTTTTAGAGAGCTTCTTATTTCTACCATTTATATTCATTTCTACACAGCTCATTTCTAAAGCTCTTCTACTATGCCACTCTTTACTTTCCCAACTTTATTACTCCTGGTAGTTATTTAGAAACTGCCATTCGCTCATGCCTTCAGTGCCACTTTAAGGCCAGCATCACTGACCAGCTTTCAGTGCAGAACTATTAATGACCAGCAGAGGTCCATTCTGCTCTGTGTGCTTCACTACAAAGTGGTTTAGATTAAACTGTGTGGTTGAGCAAACTCACATCTCAGTGACAAAACTATTCACACTGTTACCTTGACTTCAAGATGAACTTTTTTTGGTTAACTGCATTTGCAAAGAATCAAAAGGGGGGAACACACCTATGGACTTCTTTACTTGCAGTAATTTTACAGTAATTATAATTTCACAGTGCTTGGGATCAGTGACAGGTTTGGAATTTGATGTGGTCCTGCCATCACACTCCTTTTCACAGTGTGAAAAATGGGCTGCAGGTCAAATATGAACTATTTGCGGGTCTGGTGGACCCACTGTGTTATTAGGTGTTTAAATCATACAGCTATAACCATTTATGTGAAAATGCCAGATGTTTACTTTATCCCAATTACAAGCAATAAAGACAGCATATATGGTTAATATTTACAATTTACCTCTATCATATCTATAAACAATAGCGCTATCCATTTTTTTTTGTGATAAAACAAACAAAAAAGGAAAAATCAATTTCCACATATGGATGTTTGAACATATGTTTATTTTGAACAAATCTAAATGAAGCAATGCTAAGAAAATAAACACATTTACATTAATCTGAAAAACACCAGCACCATTGAACAGATACAGTATCCACACCAGTCTACATAAGACACCAGCCCCACTGACCACACAGTCTACTCACACCAGCCTGTACAGCACATGAGGGGCAGGGTTTACTGTATGTGTGTTGCACATGTGTTTCTTGCACATGATAGATGTATGGTGTGTCTTTCTGTCCATCTGGGGTCCAAACACCTCACAGCGCTTCTGTTTGTTGCTACTGGCCGCAACCTAGAATGATGAAAATACTTTGGTCAGGAATTTTTCTCACATCTTTCTCTCTCTCTGTCTCTCTCTCTGTATCTCTTTCTCTCTTTCTGTCTCTCTGTTTCTCTCTGTCTATCTCTGTCTCTTTCTCTCTGTCTCTCTCTTCTCTCTGTCTGTCTCTCTCTGTCTCTCTTCTCTCTCTCTCTCTCTCTCTCTCTTTCTCTCTGTGTCGACAGTATGAAGTCAATGAAAATGTATTTGTTTATATGTTCTTCACAGGAAATGAGCAAAGGCCAAGGAATCTGAGGTTGAAATAATAATAAAGTGCATCATTTTTCTTTTGGTAAACACTGAAAATGGGTCCCACAGTCCTGAACACCACACAGGGGTTAAACAAAGTTCATAAGGTAAGAGTGCCAGGCTGTCCATCCTATCTAATTAAAAAGTTAAGACTGCATGTTTACTGATTAACCTGCTTTTACAGTGTCTTTAACCTTTAGGACCACTCAGAGTTACAGACGAGCGCTGCAGTACAGTGAACAAACTGATATGATCATATGCCTCCATATGGACCTAAATACAGTAGTAATGTGGTCGCACTTTATTTTCGAAATGCACATATATGCAATTTGAATCTATACACCTGAAACGCATAAACCACTGTGTGTCGTTACTGTTCATTAGCACCTAATGCTACTGTGGATTTGTAATGAATGGTTCCAAAGGTCACTTGAGCTGAACTTTTACTATCTCATTGTTTGTCCAAGTACTTTGCAGAGCAGGAGCAAAAGGATTTAGACTGCGTAGCTCTCTGCAGCCGTCATAATGGAAAAGATCAACGACTACCTTTGCAGATATAAAGGTTATGTTTTTGTGACTGAGAAGCTCATAGTCGAGCACATCGACTCCCTTCAGAACTTCGAGATACGAGACAGTGACGTTTTTCTGGTGACCTACCCAAAGTCAGGTGAGAGAATGTTGGAATGGTAAGAATAGATCAGCATAGAATGACAACAAATCAGTGGAAATTGTTTACCCTGATATTGTTATAATGCAAACTGGTGGATGTTCACCTTCTATTATCATTATATCAGCACATTAACACAGATTATTTACTTATTAATCACAGTTAACCTCGGTAAAATATTAAATGTCCACTTAAGGATTGCTGCATGGGTTACTAACCCCATAAATTCCTCGAGTATTATTCAGAAACTACGTAGAAATAAAGGTAAACTGAGTTATTCTAAACTTACAAGACAGAGTATAATTTGTAATTGAAGAAGTAGAGAAACTAACCTATCACAGAAATGTATATAATGCTGTACATAACAATTTTTAACTTTTCTGACTTGAAATTTGACTGTGTTATTAAATACTCAAAAATGTGTACTTTGGTTGTACAATTAAAAGTTGTCAAAAATGGATTTGTTGTTATTTAGCTCAATTAATAAAACATCTAATCTTTAACTGAAGCAAATTAGCCTAAAAATAAAAATCATATCCAACAAGGTTTTCTAAGAAAACCACATTTCACATACTTTAATTATTGGCACCACTAGAAATTCCTATGAACAAATTCTGTTATTACACATTTTTTGGAATCATAGATGTTTATCAGTTCATGAATGAGTGGAAGATTAGAGAATACACAAATGACAGCAAAAATATTTACTTTCATAATTGTGACAAAAACAGAGTAATAATTAAGAAGTTTAACCCTCTGGGGTCGGAGGTCATTTCTCGATTTGTTCATATCTTCTTAAATCCGCCTTTAAAGGCTCTTCATATAACATGATCCTCATATGTTTCATATCTAAATGCTCCGTTATCTTCATCACTACTTTCCATAATCGCTGCAGCAACTTCAAAAACTCTCTACACGTCATTTCACATGAGTCTCTGATGTGGACTGAATGAAGAATGAAGGGTTTCCGGCGTGATGGTCAGTCCTTAGTGATTTCCTGAGTGTCCATTGGTCAGTTTCACACAGAATGTAGACGGACACACGAATCCACCAGTTCCACACGGTGAGAGGCAGATGACGTGTATCTCAGCCCCTCTTCACAGGCTCATAACTCCGGATGTGAGTCTCGTATGATCTTGTGATAAGATGGAATGAAAGAGCAACTCTACAGATTCAGGAAATGTCTGAACTGGATTTCTGCACTGTATTATCAAAAAGATACAGAACAGATATAGAAACATCAAATTTGATGCACAGGCGACTTTGTGGACCTCAGTGGGTTAAAACAACCAGAGCTTTAGTGAACCAGCCTGAAAGAGGACACACATTTATTTTACCAACACGCACAGTTAGGAAGATGGAGAAGTTTTTAATGAATCAAATTGGACCAAACATCCTAATTTACTGTAATAAAAGTATACTTTGATGTAAACCAAGCATGTTTTCACAGGAACGATATGGACGCAGAACATCATACTACTGATCTGTGAGTCGGACAACAGAGATGAAGCTGAACAATCCAACAATCCTGAGAAAATGCCGTGGCTGGAGTTTCCGCAGGGACACTCGGATTTTTCCTCTCGAGCCTCTCCGCGTTACTTCGCTTCGCACCTCACGCCCGCGCTCATGCCACCTGGACTCAAGGACAAAAAACCAAAGGTAGAGTAGGAGACACTCTGGGTCTGCAAGGTACTGTGCATGGTCAGACTCCACCCTTATCCATTCATAAACATCAGAAAAAAAAGGAACTTTCAGTTCCTCAAAGAATCTGCAGACACACCTCCAAAGTTCAGTCTTAGAAGCTGGTTGATCATTTTCTGAAGTAATCAAACACATTCAGTGGTGTTGAGGTCTGGACTCTGGGGTGGTCAGTCCACTGTTCATCTTCTTTGTTTGATGTGTCCGTCTCCTTTTCTCGGTGAGGTTCTTCGTGACAGCTACACATCCTTTCAGACCCACAGCGCTGAGTCGTCTTCTCACAGTGGAAGGATGGACAGAAACACCTGTGGATGTTTTCAGATCTGAAGCAGCTTGATTTTCTCCTCTCTCTCAGAGATGAAAGCTTTAAGTGCTGTTTATCTGATGGGGGCAGTTTTGGTGTCTACCCAGGTCTTCCAGGTGGTTGTTAGGAATCTCTCTTTTTTCCCTTTAATTCATTTTTCAGACTCGTCACAAATATCTTATTTAATGGTCATTTTGACTTGAGATTAAAGGTGGTCTCTGATTTTTGCACAGTATTTGTGTCAGTATAGGTGAGTCATTGCACCAAACCACAAAACAGTGTTTAATGCGAATGATTCTCTTTTCTTGTCTGGTTTTAAATGCTAGATCGTGTACGTGGCCAGGAACCCTAAAGATGTGGCGGTGTCTTATTTCCACTTCTCCCACATGTTGACCAAGCTGGAGACCCCCAAGAGCTTTGAAGAGTTTCTGCAGCAGTACCTCGCTGGAGACGGTAAGACGGATCCCAGAATGACTGTGAGGGTCTGCTTTGAGATTTTCTGTGAAGAGAAACTTTTGAGTATAGTTTCATAAATGCAGAAACATGCAGAACTCGTCAGTGTGGAACATTCTAGAAAGATTCATAAACTGGCAAGAACAGACAGAAAAACATACAGCTTAACCCCTTACCAAACCCACACATCTATAACCTAAAAATAGCTCCATTAGTTTGCATTGAAGTCCCTGTAGCTACTGAATAATAAGGCTTTGTATGCAATAAGCCTGGAATGGTAAGGGGTTAATACAAAACTGACCATCTCTCTGTGTGGCTGGACTTTGCAGTAGGTGGATCGTCGTGGTTTGATCACATCCGAGTGTGGCACACGCACAAAGACGAGTACAACATCCTGTTCCTGACTTATGAGGACATGATCATGGTAAGACAAATGCATGAAAAAGGTTTGACTCACAATGTAACAACCACACAAACTGTAACAATGTACGCATGATAAATACTCATAATGTAATCTGACTCAAAGATACTTACAAGTTCAATTACTAACTAGCACGCCTATATACACACAAGCAACCAACTGCAATAACATAGCAGTGGCCTAGCAACACATTAGCAACCACCTGGGATAACATAGCAATGGCCAAGCAACACATTAGCAACCACCTGGGATAACATACCAATAGCCAAACAACACATTAGCAACCACCTGGGATAACATAGCAATGGCCAAACAACATATTAGCAACCACCTGGGATAACATAGCATTGGCCAAGCAACACATTAGCAACCACCTGGGATAACATACCAATAGCCAAGCAACATATTAGCAACCACCTGGGATAACATAGCATTGGCCAAGCAACACATTAGCAACCACCTGGGATAACAAAGCAACAGCCAAGCAACACATTAGCAACCACCTGGGATAACATAGCAACAGCCAAGCAACATATTAGCAACCACCTGGGATACCATAGCAATGGCCAAGCAACACATTAGCAACCAGCTGGGATAACATCCATAGCAATGGCCAAGCAACACATTAGCAACCAGCTGTGATAACATAGCAACAGCCAAGCAACATATTAGCAACCACCTGGGATACCATAGCAATGGCCAAGCAACACATTAGCAACCACCTGGGATAGCATCCATAGCAATGGCCAAGCAACACATTAGCAAACAGCTGGGATAACATCAATGGCCTAGCAACACATTAGCAACGACCTAGGATTTCATACCAACAGCTTGATCAAGCCAGTTTTTCATTCACAGACTTTCTCCTTCTAGTTCAGACATGAAATCCTTATTAACCATAAAACTTTCAGCTTTCTAAAACTATAAGAAAATCTATAGTTTTTTCATCATTTCATAAAGAATTATTTATCATCTTTAATAGTACTCAGTATCTCCTGTGCCTTCTGCATTATGTCAGGATCTGAGGTCGGCAGTGGAGAAGATTGCCCGCTTTTTGGGACGAGATCTGGACGAAGCTGCGATCTCTCGTGTTGTGGAGAAAGCCACCTTTAAAAATATGAGGAAGGACCCCAAAGCCAACTATGAGTTCCTTCCTACTGAAATTCTACAGGGCAAATTCATGCGCAAAGGTCAGAATTCAGAGATTATACTTCATGGAGGCCTTATTAAAGACATATATGGAGTCTTATGAATGGACAGCAACAGGTTTATTAGTTTGACTCTGTACAGTAGCATTTGTTCTTATTCAGTAGTTCTCTGATTGATTTATCTTCATCCTCATGATGTTCCACTTTACTCACAGTGTTTCCAGTGTTATCAGTTCCCAACACCAGCCTTTAACAGACTATTCATCATGTATACTGTAGTACAGTTTCTTTGGACTTTTCACACCCCAAACACCCCAAACAAAAAGGGATCTCTGGAACAAGGCCATAGAAGAACCACTTTTGGTTCCTTCAAGAACCTTTGGTAACAGTTTATTTACACCTTGCTAAGTAACATTCAAAAAATCATGCTATAAATAAGTTATAGCAGATGTTATATTCTGTCATACGCTCTCATAGCAGATTAGGTTCAGTAATATAACAGTGGATGGTTTAATGGATGGTTCTTTAACCCTCTATCGCACTGTGATGCCATATGGCAACAATTACATTATCTCAATTTTACTAAAAAGCAGTGATATAAAATCTGTGTTTACCTATTTATATGTGGAAAAGGGGTCTTTCACTTGAAAGGACAAATATTGTATGACATCACATGATCAGGAATTTTTATTATGATGTTGTTATTACCATATATTCCAAATACCAACTGAAATTGTATTAATTTACAATATTTGTACATTTTGAGTCGTACGTTTCACGAAGTGTAAGTTGGGTTTGTTTGGTCTTGTTTCAAGAAAAGGATGTTTTTAGAGACAAGTTAATTTTATGGTACTATGGTACGATTGGGCATTGTTGCCATATGGCAACAGTTTACCAAATACCCCACTTTGAAATATATATATCCATTATTTAAGCAATTTTAAATGACAAAAACACATTAAAATATTTTTCTCATGTCTAAGCAATAATTCATGCAGTAGAGGGTTAAAGATCATTTGAGCTCGTCCAAAAAAAAATAAAGAAAAAAAACATATTAACCATTCCACCCTTTTTGGATTATCAGTTATATTGTTTATATAATATTTTGTGCAAAAACGCTTTATTATTACATTTTAGTGACCTCTTTATTTTAAATACAGGGCTTTAAACAGCACCATACCATGCTCTTATATGACTAACATCTCACATGTATTGTTTTCATTGCTCATTTATAGACCATTTTTGCTCGAATGAAGATTCATTTTAAAGTTTAACTCCACATAATATAAAGGTTCTTTACTGCTTAAAGGCCTACATGCCTGTAATTTTATGAAGTGATTTATAAAAGTTGTTTTAACAGGAGAGTTTTCAGAGATTTTAGACCAGTTGAGTGTGTGATGTGTCTGTTGTGTGTTGTTCCAGGTACAGTAGGAGACTGGAAAAACATCTTCACTGTGGCCCAGAATGAGATGTTTGACCGTATCTATCAGGAACGAATGAAGGATCTTCCGTTAAAGTTCATATGGGACATAAAGTAAAGCACTTTTTATGGAAACCAAGCCAAGTGATGAAAACACTGTACTGTACTGTGATCACACGTTTAGAAAATTAGAAATTTCTCAAGTTTTTCAGTCTAATTACCCTCTGCTACATCTGTAGTGGACAAATATGTGGAAGGACAAGGTTAGTGTTTATGATAAAGTGGACAGTGAATGTAAGTAGAAGGTAGGTGTTTCTAATTAAGTGGCCAGTGAGTGGAAGTAGAAGGTAGGTGTTTCTAATAAAGTGGACAGTGAGTGCAAGTACAAGGTAGGTGTTTCTAATAAAGTGGACAGTGAGTGGAAGTACAAGGTAGGTGTTTCTAATAAACTGGCCATTTAGAGGAATTACAAGGTAGGTGTTTCTGTTAAAGTGGCCAGTGAGTGGAGGTACAAGGTAGGTGTTTCAAATACAGTGGCCACTCAGTGGAAGGACAAGGTAGGTGTTTCTAATAAAGTAGCCATTTAGAGGAATTACAAGGTAGGTGTTTTTGATAAAGTGGGCACTGTGTGGAAGGACAAAGGTTGGTATTTCTAATAAAGTGACATGCTTAGAAATTAAAGGAATATTCTTCAGTTTTTCTACCTAAATCACTCTCTGCTGTATCTGTAGTGTATGGTTGTTTACCATGAACAATAATTTCAGTGTGTTTCATTGTACAACGAACTGAAAATCTGCTGAAACAATGATCTTACAATACATTTACAATAAAAGTATTATTATTATTATCACCACCATTTCTATTCATTTCTACATAGCTATTTTTTATTATTATTTTTATTTATTTTTATTTTCATGCCTTTATTATTCCTGGTAATTATTTAATCTTTTCCGTTTGTCTATGCCATCATTGCCATATTAAGGCCAACATTACTGACCAGTTTCAGTACAGAACTAATAATGACCAGCAGAGGTCAGTATACAACTACAAATCACATTCTGCTCTACGTGCTTCGCTTCAAACTGGTTTAAATTAAAGTGTGTTAGACCAAACCCACAGCTCTGTGACAAAACATTGCAGTGTGGGTGCATATGCAACGTCCCTAACGTTTCCACTAAACAGGTCACGTTTTTGTGTTTTCTCATTCAACTTTTGGAACAAACATATTTCTGCAAATTCTCCTAAAAATTTTAAACATAGAAGTGTTAAAAAAAGAGTTTCAAAAGTGCCCACAGGGAGAGTTTGGCCAAATATGTGCTTTCATTAATTTACTCAACCTCTTCCTTTTATGGTTAACCTTGTCTTTAAATACATATAATGTTATTGTAAAGTGAGGAAAGTGGGTTTGTTGCCCTGAGGCAACATAGTGCAGTGGAGGGTTAATCATTGCCCTAATTAGTTAATAATTGCATTCCCTACAACATTTTTTTTTGTTTTAGTTCCTGTCTAACTGACCTCTAACTTTTCTCTGTGGACGCTGAGCAAATGGTGACTGCCGAGGAATGCAAGCAGAAAATTGGTGGCAGGATCAGCAGATCAGGGCTCTTCTGAAGCCGTAGAACAAGCTCCACAAGCAGAAAACGCATTTGGATGCAGGCTGTGAAACAGCAGGTAGATTCAGGTCCACTAAGTCTGATGGCAACATTGACTCCTGTGGTTACTACAACTTTCACACCCACACTGGAGTGGTGCTGGGAATGCCAGCATGGCCTGGGGAATGAGAAGGTTTCCTCCACCTCCTCCGTCGGCCTTCGACTTCAGCAATCGGTTCGAAGCCCTTAGTTCTCCACCTGCCTCAGCTCCTTGGACAACAACTCAGGGTGATGTTCTAGTGATGAGAGACTCCACCATCTCATCCCATCAAAGTCCTCAGAACATTTCAGATTAATTCTAGACACAGTGAAGAAGAGGACGGAGGCCAGGATCATCATTTCTGGACATCTGCCCACCTACAAGAGAGGAAGTCAGGTGTTCAGCAGACTCTACACGCTCCACCGTTGGCTCCAAGGCTGGCGCGATACCACGGCGTCAGCTATGTGAGCAACCGGTGTTGAAAAAAACACAAATAATTTCATTTTTGTAGCTTTACAAAAAAACAGCTTTACTCAGTGTAAGGTCACTAAATAACAAAACATGTCTGATTCGAGATATTAAAGAGGTTATGTTTTTATTAGAAACATGACTAAATGAAAATTACAGATTTATGCATACAGTAAGACAGGACAGGCGAGGAGGAGGAGTGGCATACAGTTAAAATAGTGACTTTAACCACAGAAATACCACTGTTATTTTCTTTTATGATTTTAAATTAATACTCATAGTTTCTCTTCTCACTCTTAAGCTTGTAAAGCTGCCACTGGTGTAAAAACTGCTGTGTAAATAAAGGTATTATTATTATTATTATTATTATTATTATTATTAGTGGTAGCAGTAGTAGTAGTAGTGGTAGTAGTAGTAGTATTAAGAATTTAGTTCACTGCGTTTGCAAAAAGTCAAGCAGGGGAACATGCACCCATGGACTTCTGTAATTACTGTAATTTTACAGTGAAACTTTCTACAGCGTTGCTTAGGATCGGTGGTAGGTTCGGAATGTGACGTTGTCTTGCCATCACACTCTTTTTGAGAATGTGAACAAATGGGCTGCAGGTCAGATATGAACTTACAGAGTTTATCTGATGTTCCTTTCTGCATTATACTACTACTTTATTTATCCATTCACAACTAGCATACAGTCTTCCTCAACACAAGGCATGCAAAAGTGCATAAGACTATGGAAAACTTTAAATACAGTACTCCATTAAGCAATGTGTGTAAGGTAAGCTTGCCAGCCAGCCCATCTTTCCTCATTTTTTTTCCTGAAAAAATTCCCAGAGTGTTGTGAGAGTTTGCCGATGAACACTTTTACTGTCATACTGACTCAAAGTACATGGGTGAGCACTGCAATAGAGTGAACAAACTGAGATGTGACCATATGCCTCCATATTTATAATTATAAACTTATAAACATTACTTATAAACAATAGTAATATACAGTATACAGTAGTAATGTGGTTCTAATGTGTTAATGTGAATCTTTACACCCTGAAACACATAAACCACTGCATGCCATTACTGTATGTTAGCAGCTAATGTTACTATGGAGATGCCAAGGACAGTTTCAAAGGTCACTTGAGCTGAATGTTTACTGTCTTGCTGTTTGTCTAAATGCTTTGCGGAACAGGAGTTAAAGGATTTAGACTGTGTAGTTCTCTGCGGCTGTTAGAATGGAAAAGATCGGCGACTCTCTTTGCAGATATAAAGACCATGTTTTTATTACTGACATACTAAAAGTCGAGCACATCGACTCCCTTCAGAGCTTCGAGATACGAGACAGTGACGTTTTTCTGGTGACCTACCCAAAGTCAGGTGAGAGAGTGTTAGAATGGTAAGAGTAGGTCAACCTAGAATGCTGACAATCAGTGCATGATATTTACCATATCATTGTAATGCTAACTGGTTGCTGGGAATTACATGCAACACAGATTTAGGTGCTTTGTAGTAAATCTTTTCATATTTTTTATGAGTATCATACTTCAGTATTCTGAATAATGAGATTTTGCTGTGTTATGAAGTTATTTAGGAATATGTACTTTCAAAAATAGCTCAGTCAATAAAAAATCGAACCTTTAATGAAAGTAATTTAGTCCAAGAAAACAAAATGAACAAAACCCCGTTTATGTGTCTGTAATAGTGGCACACCTAGAAATTCTTATGAACAAAATGTATCATCCACATTTTTTTTAAATCATCACTGTTTATCAACATGGGAAGTTTAGAAAATAAACAAATGAAATGTCCACTGTTAGGGCAAAAATTAAGAAGTTTGAAACAACCAGAGCTGTAGTGAACCTGCCTGAAAGAGGACGCACATGTATTTTACCACCAGGCACTTTCGGGAAGACGGGTAGGAGAGAGAGGGAAACGTTTCACTGAGGATCACAGTTGACTATGGTGGTACTTCAAACCTACTATAAGTCATTAGATGCCCCTTCCATGCCAACTAACTATTTAGAAGGTGTGACTGAAACTGTTCTATGGTCAACAGCTTATGAGAAAAAAAGGTGATAAAAGTATACTTTGATGTAGACCAGTGTGTATTTTAACAGGAACGATATGGATGCAGAACATAATACTACTGATCTGTGAGTCGGACAGCACAGATGAGACTCAATTTCTCAACAATCCTGAGAAAATGCCATGGCTGGAGTATCCGTCAGAACACTCGGATTATTCCTCTCAAGCATCTCCGCGATTCTTTGTCTCGCACCTCACGCCCGCGCTCATGCCACCTGGACTCAAGGACAAAAAGGCAAAGGTAGAGTAGGAGGTGATCTGGGCTGCAACAGGACTTTCAAGCTTTAAGTGCTGTTTATCTGATGGGGGCAGTTTTGGTGTCTACCAGGTCTTCCAGGTGGTTGTTAGGAGCCACATTTTCTTTGTAGCTTTAACTTCTTCAACTCCTTGAGACCACCGGTGGTTCCAAAACGCACTTCGTCATATTCTTCATAACTTTCATATTTCATAAGCTACATTCAAAAGGTGGGGGTCGTATGAGAGCTGTAACTGTCTTCTTTCCAGTCTAATAGATGGGTGATGTAATTTTAAACCCTTATAATAAAAGAAGCTGAACTCACAGTTTTTTTTTTCTACTGAAAGTCGACCCATTTTTCCACAAATCTGGGCTATAAACTATAAACAGATGGCGTCTCTTCAGTGATCTGCTCTGTAAAAAATATTTTCATAAAATAATACAAAGAGCGTCTAAGATTTTTGGCTTTCAGCGGTAAATTGTAAGCATATAGCAATATGTGTGATCATAAAACACATTTTCTGTGAATTTGAGGGGAACTTTTACAAAAAATGAATAAAATAAAAATTTACATTTATTTCATGCAGTTACTGAATAATTTGCCTTACGATTTGGTCATGAAAATTCAGATGGACAAACCAAAATATACCCCGGTTGAATAAGAGGTTCATTATTTTTTTAACCTCCTCAGAAATTTCTCCATTAATGCTCATTTTGACTTGGGATTAAGAGTGGTCTCTGACTTTTACACAATATTTGTATGTCAGTATGGGTGATGTCATTGCACCAAACCTCAGAATAGTGTTTAATGTGAATCACTGTCTGGTTTTAAATGCTAGATCGTTTACGTGGCCAGAAACCCAAAAGATGTTGCAGTGTCTTTTTTCCACTTCTCCCACGTGTTGACCAAGGTTGGGACCCCCAAGCACTTTGAAGAGTTTCTGCAGCAGTACCTCGCTGGAGACGGTAAGACTGAATCCCAGAGACTTCAAGGGTCTTTAGATTTTCTGTGAAGAGACACTTTTGAGGATAATTTTATAAATGCAAAAACATGCAGAACCAATCAATGTTTAACATTCTAGGCAGATTTTTAAACCTGCAAGGACAGAAAAAACATGTCATTTAATATAGAACTGACCGTCTCTGCGTGCTGCTGGACTTTGCAGTTTATGGATCATTGTGGTTTGATCACATCCGTGAGTGGCACACGCACAGAGATGAGTACAACATCCTGTTCCTGACTTATGAGGACATGATCATGGTAAGATAAATGCATGGAACGAGGTTCAACTCATAATATAATCACCACACAAAATGTAACATTAGTGTTTCAGTTCACTTAGGTTATGTATTAATTACCACATTACATTACTTTTTTAAGATTTTAATATTTTTAACAATTCTTATTTAAAATGACATCATAAAGCATAAATATATACACATTCGCTCACTAACTAGCACACCTATACACACCGATCAGGCATAACATTCTGACCACCTCCTTGTTTCTGCGCTCATTGTCCATTTTATCAGCTCCACTTACTATATAGGTGCACTTTGTAGTTCTACAGTTACAGACTGTAGTCCATCTGTTTCTCTGCATACTTTGTTAGCCCCCTTTTACCCTGTTCTTCAGTGGTCAGGACCCCCATGGACCCTCACAGAGCAGGTACTATTTGGGTGGTGGATCATTCTCAGCAAAGCAGTAACACTGACGTGGTGGTGGTGTGTTAGTGTGTTGTGCTGGTACGAGTGGATCAGACACAGCAGTGCTGCTGGAGTTTTCAAACACTGTGTCCACTCACTGTCCACTCTATTAGACACTCCTACCTTGTCAGTCCACATTGTAGATGTAAAGTCAGAGACAATAGCTCATCTGCTGCTGCACAGTTTGTGTTGGTCATCCTCTAGTCCTTCATTGATGGTCACAGGATGCTGCCGACAGGACGCTATTGGCTGGATTTTTTGGTTGGTGGACTATTCTCAGTCCAGCAGTGACACTGAGGTGTTTAAAGAATTATTTATCATGTTTAATAATACTCCCAATCCTGTGCTTTCTGCATTGTGTCAGGATCTGAGGTCGGCAGTGGAGAAGACTTCTCGCTTTTTGGGACGAGATCTGGACGAAGCTGCGATCTCTCGTGTTGTGGAGAAAGCCACCTTTAAAAATATGAGGAAGGACCCCAAAGCAAACTATGAGTTCCTTCCTACTGAAATTCTACAGGGCAAATTCATGCGCAAAGGTCAGAATTCAAAAATCATTCTTCATACATACAGAGAGTTATATATGGACAGCAGTGCATGTTTATTAGTATGGCTCTGTACAGTAGTATTTGTTCTTATTTAGAAGTTCTCTGACTGATTTATCCTTAGCGTCCTGATATTCCACTTCACTCACACTATTTCCAGTGCTGTCAGTTTCCAATAGCAGCCTCTAACATACATTTAGTATACAGTTTTGGCTCCATACTTATATTTTTACTTGAAAAAAGTAAAGTTTCTTTGTACTTTTTACACCTCAATGCAAACAAAAAGGCATCGCTGGAACTCTCATTTTGTAAATGAGAACCTCCATATGATGTAAAGGTTCTATACCAGTTAAAGACCCGTACATCCCTGTAACTTTATAAAGTAATTTATAAATTTTGTTTTCACCGGAGAGTTTTCGGAGATTTTAGACCAGTTGAGTGTGTGATGTGTCTGTTGTGTGTTGTTCCAGGTACAGTAGGAGACTGGAAAAACACCTTCACTGTGGCCCAGAATGAGATGTTTGACCGTATCTATCAGGAAAAAATGAAGGATCTTCCATTAAAGTTCATATGGGACATAAATTAAAGCCCTAATAAAAACCAAATTGTGTAATGAATGCACTGCACTATACTGTGTATTCATTACGCTACGCAATGAATGATTTTATTTAGCTCGATTTTATGCTTTGAACAGAAACCTGGTTAAATGAATGTAGTGATGTAACTTTAATTTTATAACTTCTTACATGCTGGCAAGAGAGGTGGAGGTATAGCTGGTCTAATTGATGATTCTTTCCAATGCAACCAGTCATCATCATCATCATCTGGACAGGATGTCAGATTATTACTGTGTCCTCTTTGAAATGCGGACCTAGATATCAATGTGTATTTATATATTGTGTTATGGATGAAAAAACACTATGGGGGAATGCTACTGTAGTTCAGCTCTAAAAGTGAGACTGTAAGAAGAAGACTGAACATAGATGGTATAAAACCAAGCTTCAGATCCACAAAGAAATCTTCAAAGATAGGCTGCATGATTACAACACATTAATGTGCAAAGCTAGATAATCCTTCTTCTCCAGCATTATCAACAATAACATTAACAATAGCAAAATGCTCTTTGCGATGGTTGACAAACCAAGTCACCCATATATGGCCCCTGAATTAGTGCCAACTGAGAGATGTAAGTTTGCATACATTATAATCCCCAACATCACTAGTATGTCTATATCCACCAATCAAACCAAGCAAAGACCACACACATGTTAGGTTTTTTACCAAAATGTTAAAAACTGCAGTTGTGAAGCCTCTTTAAAAAGAAAAATCTGTAAATATGTATTAATCATAGATCTATTTCAAATCTGCCTTTCATTGGAAAAAATCAATGAGAGGCTCATCTTCAAGCAACTTACTGGTTTACTTGTTAGTACTGAGATAGCTCTAATTAAGGTTATCAATGACATTCATTTAAAATTCAGACTTTGGAAAAATATCTGTTCTACTGCAGCTCAACCTCAGTGCTGCTGTTGATACCATTGACCAAAAAATTTGTATAGATGGACTTGAGAACTGGTTTTGACAAGAACTGTCCTAAAATGGTTCAGTTTATACCGGCAAGGAAGGAACTACTTTGTCAAAATGGAAAATAATGTCTCTGAGAGTGTGCCCAGTGACCTGTGGTGTCCCCCAGGGTTTGATTCTTGGGCCACTCTTATTGTATTTATACATGCTTCCTCTACAAGACTGTTGACTATCTTAACACAACTATGTAGATGCCACTCAGATCTACTTGGCCCTCTCCCCAAACAGCTATGGTTCCCTTGACTCACTTTGTTAATGCCTTGAGCTCATTAATAACTGGATGGGACACATTTTCTGCAGTTGAATAAAGTTAAAACAGATTATTTTATTGGGGAATAGCAAACAGAAATACAGACCAGCTGCCTACCTGGACTTGCACCAAACCTTGGTGTACTAATGGATCTCTGTTTTATCAGTCATGTCAAAGCAGTTAGCCCTCTATTGCATGAATTATTACTTAAACATGATAAAAATGTTATGATAACACATTACAGCTATGAGAAAATGACTGAAATTACAAAATATCAATAATGTTTTTTTTTTTCCTTTTAAATGTAATCAAAAGTTGTAACAATAGTCTCAGAGTAGCCTAGGGCTATGTGAGTCAATTACAGTTCAATAGATTGAATGCACACAGATCCCTTCCATACATATCGTTGCCATATGGAAACAAATTTATTTCATCATTTTACAAAAACATGCATCACATCCAAATTGGTTTAATGATGAAAATTAAAATTGTATTTACCCCAGATAGTATTTAATTTTAAAGACATTTAGCCTAAATGTTGAACAAGTCAACATTGTCAACATTGGGAGCCCTCAGGTCATGACCTTCTCAGATTCAAGTGTCCATGGGAAAAGTGAGTGCAAACAGGATTTCCTGGTCATGTTTTGTCATCAAGTATTTGTCCTCTCAAAGTAAAAGACCTTTTTTTTCCAAAATTAAAGTAAAACAAGGATTTTATATTACTGCCTTTTAGTAAAATTGAGATAAAGTCACTGTTGCCATATGGCAACAGCATGCAATAGAGTTACTAAATCAGCGTTTTATCACCTTAAGAACATCAACAGTATCAGAGATTATCAGACAAAAGCAGACCTGGAGAAACTTATCCATGCCTTTATTTCTAGCAGGGTTGATCACTGTAATGGTCTTCTAACTGGACTCCTGAAGAAAAAGACAAACAGCTTCAGCTGATTCAAACTGCAGCTGCCAGAGTCTCACTAGGAGTAAAAGAAGGAGGGCATCACCCCCATTCTTAAATCTTTACATTGCCTACCAGTCTGTTACTTTAAGGGTGCTGTTACTGCTCTATAAATGTCTTAATGGTGCAGGATCAGCGTATTCATCTGATCTACTGCAGCGATATGAGCCGAGCAGAACTCTCAGATCATTAGGAACTAGAAGGAACTTCTATTAGAGAAGTGCAATAGAGCTAACAGTGTTTTAAACTGAGCTGAAAGCTGCTCAAACAGAAGCGTTTAGCTGCTATGCTGCTATTACATGGAACAGGTTGACAGGGAGCATTAGAAGAGCCCCAGCAATAGACAGTTTTAAATAAAAAAAATGAATGAATAAATGTATTCTTTATGTCTTCTCTTTTAAATCTATGGTTTATAATCATGTTTTAATCTTGTTTGTATTTGATATTCTCCTACATCTTTTTTAATTTTTAATTTGAATTATCTTTGTATTTCCTCATTTGTAAAGCACTTTGACACCAATGTATGAAAGGTGCTGTATAGATAAACTTGCCTTGCATTACTGTGATGACGTTTAGAAATTAAAGGAATACTCATGAGAATTTCAACCTAATCACTCTCTGCTGCGTCTGTAGTGCATGATCACGTGTACACGTTTCACAGTACAATTAACAGAGAAGCTGTTGACTGAAATGATCATTTAACAATACATTTACAATAAAAGCAAATGAGAATGTGCTGAAGTTCAGGGAAATGTGCTAAGATTAGCACCCATGGTAGAACGGATGCACAATCTACAGTAAATTATGCTCTCTGTACGGTAGAAACACGTAACAAATGTCTTCTACTATGCCACTCTTTCATTTTCACTCCTTTATGACTCTTCTGCAGCTTTCAGTGCAGAACTAATCATGACCAGCAGAGGTCAGTATACAACTTCAAGTTACATTCTGCTCTGTGTGCTTCACTACAAACTGAGGTAGATTTTTAACTTTAGGCACCAATTTCTCCAGTGCTTGTTGAAACAGTTTGACTCCTGTGGACAGAAATTGACCAATGATGTGTGGGACAGAGGGGGGCTGTTAAACTGTGCAGCAACAGACAGGCTACAGTGTGTAAGTGTATGCCGATACAGTGGAGCTATAAAGTAAGTGGAGCTCATAAAATGAAGAAAAATGTAGGTTAGGTGTTTCTAATAAAGTGGCCACTGAAAGGAAATACAAGGTAGGTGTTTCTAATGAAGTGGCCACTGAATGGAAATACAAGGTAGGTGTTTCTAATGAAGTGGCCACTGAATGGAAATACAAGGTAGATGTTTCTAATGAAGTGGCCAGAGCTTGGAAGCACAAGATTGCTGTTTCTATCAAAGTGGCCAGTGAGTGAAAGTACAAGGTAGGTGTTTCTAATAAAGTGGCCTGTGAGTGGAAGCACAATGTAGATGTTTCTAATAAAGTGGCCAGTGCTTGGAAGCACAAGGTTGGTGTTCCTAATAAAGTGACCAGTGAGTGCAAACACAGCAGTAGTGTTTCTAATAAAGTGGCCAATGAGTGGATCTACAAGCTAGATGTTTCCAATAAAGTGGCCAGTGAGTGGAAGTACAAGGTTGGTGTTTCTAATAAAGTGGCCAGAGAGTGGAAGGTTGAGGATTGGGTTTGTAATAAAGTGGCCAGAGAGCGGAAAGACATGGTAGGCACTTCTCATAAAGTGGCAAGTAAGTGAAATCACAAGGAATTAGTTTCAACATGACTTACAATGGAAATTAGCCATCTTGTTTCTTGACTTTGCCAAGTTGAGAGTTGAGAAAGAGTCGTCAGCAGAGCAGCGCCCTTTGGGGCAGTGGAAGAGTTAACTGCCCCTTATCTAGAGCACAAACTGGAGTTATCAGTCAGTCAGAGCTGTAGAAACTTCATCTTTTACACACTGAAGAAAGCAGGTAGAACTTCAAACATCGTGAATTCCTTGAATACATCTCCTCTGCAGTTTTGTTCATTAGCTCAATGAAGTGGAATTGAACCTCTAACTGACTCTGACATTGACTGCCAGGCGACAGTAGCGACTGGACTTTTAGTGCCACTGCAAAGAAATCTTGTGTCAAATACAACTCTTACAGAAAATCAAATCATGTAAAATTCGCTATGCACATGGTTCATAAGGACACTGCGGCTAGATTCAAGGTTTAGAGGAATAAGGAGCTTTTCAGAAGTCCTGCGAATGCTGTGCAGTCAAAGTGAAAAACTAGTACTGTCTGTGTGATATTTGGGAGGTTTTTTTTTACCACCTACACTCATGCAGATGTTTGGTATTGTATCTCAGATCTCGGCCTGGAAGGCATCATTAGAAACCTCATAAAGCTCTATCTGAGTCCTATTTACACTCTGCGCAGCTGACGTTCACTGCAGGCTGAATTCTTATGAAAACCCTTCATACAGATAGCTCAGAAACGCACACAGTGCCTGTGGAGTTACTGGAATTTGTTACTGGCATTTCAGATTTATTCTGCTTGCTCCTGGTTGAGGAACCGTGACGGCATCACCAGACGCATAGATCACGCTAATACCCAAGGCAAGGTGGTATCAATTACAGATGATCTGGAAACTGTTCTGCCCGTACACACCACACCCCCCCCCCACACCCCCCCGTCATATCACCATAGCTCTTCATCTTCCCGCCGGAGATTGCGCAATTGCCTCATTTATTCTTCCTAAAAGTCATTAAAATCAAGACGCTGTCAAAGTAATAGATAAACCACTTGGTGCAGGTTGGCAGTTTGGATTGAGTTTTCGTCCCAGCTTCCCGGTACAAATCCATTCGGGAAAAAAAAGAAAATCATTTGATTACTTGTCACAGGCACATTCGCTGCGTACTAATGGACTCCATAATGAAAACGTCATATCATTACATCTGAACGGATATGATCTGATGAATGGATATGATGAACTGACTGAATCAGGCCATCTTTCATCACATCTAATCCACTTAGCCAAGCACAACCAGCGTTCACTTGTTAAGGCAAACATTGTGGTTCTCTGGATGTAGTTGAGCGTCAAACTGACAAAACTCTTTAAGCCTTTTCTGTTTGAAAGTCATATCATTTGTGATCTGTTGAGCTGTACTGAGCTATTCCTGGTCCCTATATTGGAGCCCTTACCTACCCCAAAAATCAATAAAGTGGCCAGTGAGTGGAGGTACAAAGTGGGTGTTTCAAATAAAGTGGCCAGTTAGTGGGAGTACAAGGTTGGTGTTTCTACTAAAGTGGCCAGTGAGTGGAAGTACAAGGTAGGTGTTTCTAATGACTTCAAACTGAGGTAGATTGTAACATCAGCCACCAATTTGCCCAGTGTTGTTTGAAACAGTTTGACTCCTGTGGTCAGAAATTGACCATTGATGCGTGGGGCAGAGGGAGGCTGTGCAGTAACAGACAGGCTACAGTGTGTAAGTGTATGCTGATATAGTGGAGCTCATAAAGTGAATAAAAAAGGAAGATTGGTGTTTCTCATTAAGTGGTCAGTTTGTGGAAGCACAAGGTAGGTGTTTCTAATAAAGTAGACAGTGAGTGGAAGTACAAGGTAGATGTTTCTAATAAAGTGGACAGTTAGTGGAAGCACAAGGTAGATGTTTCTAATAAAGTGGCCAGTGAGTGGAAGTACAAGGTAGATGTTTCTAATTAAGTGCTCAGTAAATGGAAGTACAAGGTAGATGTTTCTAATAAAGTGGCCAGTGAGTGGAGGCACCAGGCTAGTGTTTCTATTAAAGTGGCTAGTTAGTGAAATTACAAGGTTGCTGTTTCTAATAAAGTGGCCAGTGAGTGTAACAGCTATTAAAAGTTTAACAAAGCTAGACGGGTCAGTCCCTGTCAGTCAGTGTTTGTCTTATGTTTTCTAATAACACAGTTGGCCATTACTGAATGATCTTTAGACTTAAATTAGAGGGTCTGATCTGTCTTGTTTGCCAGGCAGTTTGTTTTGATGGAATATTTGTCGTTGTTATTTTTAATACGCTCTTAGGAGCTGAGATGAAACTTACCAGAAATCTCATTAGTAGTACACAACCTCAAATCACTTTGTGCCCACTCACTTCTCAGCTTTTTCCGTATTCAATTAAACAGTGAATGCATGCCAGTTCTGTTAGCCTTCAGATGAGAATGAATTAATATCCTCAGAGAAAATGGCTCTCCCTGTATCTCTCTCTCTCTCTCTCTCTCTCTCTCTCTCTCTCTCTACCATTTGCAAATAATCATGAGGAGTATGCACACAAGGTTAACTGCAACTAAATATTTGATGGCTAATATTAAAACACATTTAGCATGATGACCCCGCAGTCAGAATTCAGCCTGAGTTGAATCTCCAGTGTCCATGAGAACAGCACACCAGGCCACGTTCTGAACTGCAGAGATGGACCAAATTCAAATGTATTTGCTCCACGTTTGAGCTGGAAGTGTTATGTATTTCGTTTTGCCACTTTGTAGAGTTTGGAGACTGAAACAGATATTCAAGTACACTGGTTTGGCAATGTTGGAGTTCTCTGGTTCTCTGGTTCTTTGGAGTGATGCCATAAAAGAAACACATTTGCTTCTCCAAAGAACCTCTTAATGAATGGGTCTTTAAACAGTGGGGCAGATTTATTAAGAGAGGTGCTAGTTACCGATAGTCTACCAACACTTTGCGCTGGGAGGGACGGCTAGTTTAGGGGCCTGGGACCATAGAACCTGCTATACAAATGGTCACAGGCATAACTGCATAGTTAACATATTAGTAGCACAATATAAACACCTGTTTGGCTCATGTATTTAACGTATAGAAGCCTGTTTATTAATCTCAGTGTTACTGAGCTCTGCTAAAGCCTGAGTAGACTGATAAATCAATGTGATCAGTTATTAATCTCAGTGTTGCTGAGCTCTGCTAAAGCCTGAGTAGACTGATAAATCAATGTGATCAGTTATTAATCTCAGTGTTACTGAGCTCTGCTAAAGCCTGAGTAGACTGATAAATCAATGTGATCAGTTATTAATCTCAGTGTTACTGAGCTCTGCTAAAGCCTGAGTGGACTGATAAATCAATGTGGTGATCAGTTATTAATCTCAGTGTTACTGAGCTCTGCTAAAGCCTGAGTAGACTGATAAATCAATATGATCAGTTATTAATCTCAGTATTACTGAGCTCTGCTAAAGCCTGAGTAGACTGATAAATCAATGTGATCAGAGCTGAAAGTTTGATATAAATATAAAACTGTTAATAACAAAACACTTGATTGAAAAGATTTTTAAAAAATCCATTTCGTAACACATTTATAACATTTGTTTTTTCATGAAAGTATCTAATAATTATTTGTGTTATTACACATTCACAAATTTGGCAGTTCTCATTGGCAACCAAAACAGGACGTAACTAAAACTGTGGTTGTGTTTGCATTTAAAATAAAGAAGAGGCTTTTTATTTGAAAAGAATACATTACTGTCAATCAGTGACAATGAAGAAGAGTAGAGCAGTTTAAAACATTGTTTTTTCTGGAACTACTTGGTTTTTGTTTTTTTTTCCTTCATATTTCCTTCATCACATTAAGAATATGTGGCATGGCTTGTATTCACAAGTGTTTTTCCACTGAAAATCAATAAAT